AGTGATTTGCCTTGCTGTTACTAACTGAGTCTTAGCATTTCTTGACCTCACAAAAAGATGACCTAATTGATACATATCAGGGAGTTCAGGTCTATAGATTTCTAAAGCAACCCCAACTTAAAAAGGTTTGGCAAGTCATTAGCCAGATTGTGTAAGTCTTTGCTGGACCATGGTTTAATAAGACCTGCCAGGTTGGTCATCAGACTCACATCCCTTATAAAATAGGAAGGAATACGGTCCCAGGAGAAAGGTGTGTTCGAGAAGGGCCAGTGAGGAGAGGGGAGAGGGTCTGCTAGAGATACAGGAAGAAGGAAAGGAATAAGACAAAGGAGGGGAGGAAATCAGGGTTCAGGGGGCAGGTGGGAGGTCCTCTATAATTTCATCATTTCTGCCAGAGTGGGGTCATGAGATAGAAACGAAAGGTGAAGTTCAAATTTTAGGTCCACCAAGTTGCTCCTAGTCCTCTCTAAGGTATCCTTAAGGGAAAGGCAATATATTTTGAACTCTTTGATTTCAAGATACCAGGAAAAAGATGGTTTTTACCTCAAGTCTCCCAGAACATCATGTAAAGGGGAGTGTGGGTATAACTACAGTAGTGAAATTCCATGTCTGCTGCTGCTCCCAAAATACTAGTGTGCTGGTTTAAATATAGTATTTTTACCTCCTCTCATTAGATCAGCCTTCCCATTGGAAGTTTTCTGTTTGGTTAAATAAATACAGTGTGAAATTATAATCATAGCTATTACAAACATATCAAGAGTTAATTTCTGACTCTACCCACATTCCAAAAAATTACGCTACACAGGAAAGTATGTGTAGACAAACTTTTTCTGTGCTGTCGATGAATCCACATCACCAGGTCTAAAGTGCTCATTTATGAGGGGTCAGAGGAACTAGATAACCTCTAAGCTGACATGCGTGTGGGTGAGCAGACACAGGTATTTCTGTGTCTTTAATGCAAGCCTGTTGGAGTTGCACTGAGAAGTTGCAACTCCAAAACATCAGTGTTCTTTCTAGCAATTCTCTCAGCCTGTCGGCACCTGCAGGATGACTGCACTACAGTTTCATTGTGTCAGAGCAGATGTTCCTATCTCACGCGATGCTGGTTCTTGCCCTCCACTGGCAGGTGAGGTGTGCTGTCCAGATGCCCAGCACCACCGGGTCGCCGTGGGCCTGGGCGACGCCTGCTGCGGCCGGATGCCCTACTCCACGGCGGGCGCGCAGGTGTGCTGCGCGGGGAGGCTGCGGGATGGCCACGGCCAGCAGTGCTGCGGGGGACAGCTGGTCAGCAGAGAGGCCCAGTGCTGCGGGGGAGCAGACGGGGGCGTGGCGTACAGCCGCCTTCCAGGTGAGGGGCCTCGCCTGCCTTTCAGTAATGGAGCAAATGAGAAGCAGATACAGTGAGAGACAAAATACAGCCACAGGCAACCCACATCCCATGTTCGTTATTCCACAAGCTGGGTTCTGTGAGCTTCATATACATGAGCACCATTAATCCTCACAGCAAGCCTAAGAGGTAGGTACTGTTATTATCTCCATGTTACAGGTGAGGAAGCAGAAGCCCTTTTTTTCTTTTCTTTAAAAATATATATTTCATTGATTTCAGAGAGGAAGGGAGAGGGAGCAAGAGAGAGAAACATCAATGATGAGAGAGAATCGTTGATCGGCTGCCTCCTGCACGGCCCCCACTGGGGATGGAGCCCACAAAATGTACCTGCAATTTCATATGCCCTTGAAGCCCATTCGTGAGCCCAAATTTCAGAATCACTTCTCCGCTTGCTTCCCTGTGACACTGTGCTAGTCAGATATTTCGTAAGCACATTGTGGCCTTCCCCACCTCCTGTGGATCCAGGTGAGCGCTGCAGTTCCTCATGACAGTCTTCATTTCTGGCCATCACGGTAGACCGAAGGGATGATATTTTTAAAGAAGAAAAAAAAAATCCCTCTTCTCTTGACCTTCCTGCAGGTTCCACTGGAAGTAGACACGTTTCCCCTGTCGTTTTCGCGTGCTCTGCTGCCTCTCCTCCTGTCGCCCCTGATGACTGTGGCCTTAATGACTTTCCAGGGCATCCATATGGCTCTCTCTTTATTTCCCCTCCACGTAGCAGCCCCATACCTGCCGCACTAGGCTCTGGATTTCACGATTTCGTTCCCAGGCCCGGCCCCTCTCCCTGCCCGGCCTTGTGCGCCTGCCACGAGACCGGGCTGGCTCGTAAAACGTCTCTTTATGTACTTTATTACTTAAACTCTTTTATTCGCCTGCAGGAGCCCTTTAACAAAATCACATTGAATTGACTTTCTCACACCAAATCAAATCTCCCCGGTCCCAGTTCAGTTGTCTTTGTCAATATGTATTTTATAAATGGAGAGAATTAACAGATGCTGTCGGAACAGAAGTGCTGGGGCAGCGTTTATGCTTTTAGTGCTCTCTCCGGGCGGGCGGGCGGCGTAGGAGTCTCAGGCAGGCGTCCTGGGAGGGAAGCCGTGCCCGTCATTTCGGCAGATGTGTATTCTTCACCATTTTCCTTGACCATATTTTAAGCCTCTTTATGACTCTCTTTATTCTTAGTGTTTGCTTCTACGATTTTATCATTTCGGCCATTAATCTTGGCTTGAACTTGATTATATCCTTTCATGTTAAAAGAGGAGAATGAAAGCCCTTCTGTTATTCAAAGGAGGAGAGGGTTTGGAGATGAGTTTCGTATTTGATATTGGAGTAAATGAGCCACGGTTGGCGTGGCTCAGTGGTTGAGCATCTACCTATGAACCAGGAGGCCATGGTTTGATTCCTGGTCACGGCACATGCCTGGGCTGCAGGCTTGATCTCCTTCAGTGCGGGGTGTGCAGGAGGCAGCCGATCAGTGATTCTCTCTCATCATTGATGTTTCTATCTCTCTCTCCCTCTCCCTTCTTCTCTGAAATCAATAAAAATACATTAAAAAAAACCCACAAGACAGGTTTTTCTGTTCGTCTTGGGAAACTGATCATGAAAGATGTTTGGATCCTGTTGCCTTGTTTCTATTATAAATGTCCCTGCAGCTTTTCTTGGGAAACTCTGAGGCTGTTGTCGGGGAAAAGAACACTGAGTTTTCATGCCCTAGACCAGGGGTGGGCAAACTTTTTGACTCGAGGGCCACAATGGGTTCTTAAACTGGACCGGAGGGGTGGAACAAAAGCATGGATGGAGTGTTTGTGTGAACTAATATAAATTCAAAGTAAACATTCATTGCATAAAAGGGTACGGTCTTTTTTTTTTTGTCTTTTTTTAGTTTTATTCATTTCAAGCGGACCAGATCCAGCCCGCGGGCCGTAGTTTGCCCACGGCTGCCCTAGACTCAGACCTGAGTAGAATAAATGCACCAGTATTAGTTACATAAGATGGACTAATCTTGGGAACTTTGCTAAAAAGGGATGTGCAGCACAGAACTCCATCCTGGAAGAGTGCATTGGAAGAATATGTCCCCCTGCCTGGGTGGCTCAGTTGATTGGAGCATCAACCTTTACACCAAAAGGTTGCGGATTCAGTTCCTGGTCAGGGCACATACCTAAGGCTGCAGGTTCGATCCCTGGTCAGGGAGCATATGGAAGGCAACTGATAGATGTTTGTCTTTCACATCATTGTTTCTCTCTCTTTCTCTCTTTTCCTTTCTCTCTAACATATCAAAGCATATCCTTGGTTGAGTATTAAAAAGAAAAAAAATAAAGAATATTTCACAGGAAGATTTCCATGACATAATGAATATTTTGGAAGTATAGTGCTGTAGAAATGCTACAAAATAAGTTGCCACTATTTGGGGAGCATTTTTACTCCACCCCTTTCTTCTCATTGTTGTGGTGGTAGCCATAGAGCCACCTACTGGTGAAGGCAAGCATGCGTTTATTTTCTTTCAGTCTCTCCCACCAATTTTGTTTGTCCTAAGGACTGATCACGAACTTTTTATTTTTTCATTTCTTTAGGCCTAAGATGTATCCCTCAGCTAAAAGGTGGTTCTCATGATTAATTCCAGAGTTCCACAATGATTTGTCATGTTCTAGACTCATTTTTTTTTTTTAATTACGGTACTGATGTAACCTCAAAAGCATGATACATAAATGCTGGTCTTTTTTTTTAGAAAAATGAGCACCTGTTTTGCTGACTTAATAATTTAGAAATTCATCAGGCCTATCTGTGTATGCATGTTTTCATTTCCAGCCCTTGCCATTGGATAAGAATTGATAACATATTGGAAGTAGTTATAATACCAAGAGCCAATGTTCTCAGTTGTAGCCAGTACAGTGGAAGCTCTCCATTGGATATTTATGCAGTTTGGAAAGACTCATTTGCTACATATGCTTTTTTTATCTCAGAAATAAACATCTAATTTTTTTAATAAGTGTCGCTCAAAGAGACACTCCACCTTTGTACAAATGAAATGAAGAGCCTCTAGAATAAAAAACAAACAAACAGATAAGCCGGTCAGTGATCCACGGCCCCTTTTTGTTTTTCTTTGGGGTTACTCAAAATCGTGCATTCTGTGTGCCAAAGGTCAGAAGTCAAATGCCACCTGTGATCAGTTAGGGAGGGGGCCACAAGCGATGGCGGTGCAGTTCTGGGAGATGGTCCCACTCGGAACCCGAGCTCATTCATGCTGACGTGATGCACCCTGGGACTTTCTCCCGAGCCCGCTCTGGAACATCTGCTCTCCCTAAGTGAGTTAGTGCGCGTCAGACGTCTTTATGTCAGGAGAGCGCGGTGATGGATGCCGGCTTCGGGAAAGGCTGCATAAAAATCTGGTGTGCCGTTCTGGCCATTAAGTGAAATTACTATTTAAATTAATGGCTCTGTCACAGTTTATCTGTGCAAAGAATGAACGCTGATTAGGGTATTAAGTAATTAGCAATTTATCACCCTGGAACAAGGTTGATAATAATTAAAGAAGTAATGGTTTACCGAAGGAACTAGAAAGGGAGTCACTTCTTGTTATGGGGGTGAAATCTTGGCTGGAAATTTTAATTCAGGGAAACTAACATGAAACTCTTGGTGAAAGAAAGCATATCTCTCATCTCTCTCTCTCTCTCTCTCTCTCTCTCTCTCTGTCTCTCTCTCTCTCTCTCATCTCTCTCTCTCTCTCCTTCTCTCTCCTTTTCCTGGTATAAAAGCTGTTCATTAGCGGGATTTTAGTTGGCCTGTCAAAAGTCCCTCAGAGCGATCCGCTGACTGCTTGGGAGTTTGGAACTGGGTCAGCGTCTGCATTTTGATTTTCTACGTAAAGCATGGGAAACCATAAAGTGATCCGGAAGGGGGGAGGGGGCAGGTTATTCTGCTCCCTGAGGGGGCCAGTTTTTAGAATTTGATGGCTCTTTAAAATGAAAACATGAAGTATTTTAAGAAAACTGCCAGAGAGAAAAAATAATAGTAAAGAATCCAAGGTGGCATCTTAATGTCTGATCTCAAGGCATCAGAGATACATCCAAATAATATAAAAACTGAAGTTGTGGGGTGTGTGTGTGTGTGTGTGTGTGTGTGTGTGTGTGTGTGTGATTTTATCCATCATAATCAGGACTCAGACTGCAGTGATAGCCCTGCTGTGTGTATATATTCGAGAGGACTCTTCCTGGAAATGTTAAAACAACCAAAATTATTAACAAAGCCCCAGAGAAAAACAGTTAACTTTTAAACCCACGACTTTGAGCAGTTACATTAGAACATGTCAAAACTCAGTTACGCTCAATGGATGTCATTAACTGTGAATACAAATGCAAGTAGTTGGAGATATTTTTAAAGTTGAAGGTCAGTGGGAGAGTTCTTTGAAGTTATGCGTGGGTAAGCATCTTTCTTAAGGCAGATGCCAAGCCAGTGTCTAGAGCAGGGGTGGGCAAACTTTTTTACTCGAGGGCCACGATGGGTTCTTAAACTGGACCGGAGGGCCGGAACAAAAGCATGGATGGAGTGTTTGTGTGAACTAATATAAATTCAAAGTAAACATCATTACAGAAAAAGGTCTTTTTTTTTTTAGTTTTATTCATTTCAAACGGGCCGGATCCGGCCCAAGGGCCGTAGTTTGCCCACGGCTGGTCTAGGTTCAATGATTAAGAAACAATAACAAAAAACCTCAAGACTCGTTGGTCTGTTATTAGGAGTATCTTTCATGGCACATGTGTTTATACAAGGCCAGATTAAACACTTCAGGAACCCATGGCACTTTGAAGTTGGGGTTCTTTATGTTACCAGTCGGGACTAATAATAAAACCCTAATTAAACTAAATCCCCTCATTGTGCTGCTATATAAATGGATGTATGTCACTCTCTAATATGATCGCACTGTGACATGGAGTATGGGCCCCTTTATTCCCAGCTTAATCTGACTCTGGACTGCTGTTTGTTTATTCAGGCTTTATTTTTGTCTGCATTTCTGCCATATCTCTTCTATGGTTTGATCTAGGTGACGTGAACAGAGTTGGTAAAACTGGATTGGGTGGGAGGGAGGAGTCTGTTTGGTCCCACAGGCACACGTGTCCTCCATCCTCTGACCCAGGTCCAGTGATGGTTCCAAAAACTGGCCGAATGGCTCACCCAATGGGTGAGCATGCTCCGTGGGTGCAAATCTGTGTCGTGAAGAAAGAATGGTTCTGCTGTGGCTGGAGTCCCCAGAAGCAAATACTTGGGCCCCAGGCAGAGCCAGGCAGCAGCTTAGGAGTCTCACGCTGCCGCGTCTCCCGTTCCGCAGCGGTTGCCTCTTCCTCTGTCTGGCCGCTTGCCCAGAGCGCTTGTGTGGCCTCTCCTCCCCTGGGAACTCTAGAGATGTCCTCGGTGTCCCTCCGTTTTAAGTACAGTGGCACCTCATTTCTCAAACTTCATTCGTTCCAGAAGGCTGTTGGCAAACCAGATCATTATTTCCCATTAGAAATCATGTACGATGAATGAATCCATTCCAGACCCCCAACTGATTTCCTGTTTTTACCTTTCTTGTATACCGTACATGTCTATTGTACTGTTTGATTTATAAACAAACATATTAAAAACAAAAAGAGCATGAAATGTACATGAAAACAACAAAAGGGAAAGGAAATGTATACTAAGGAGTGAAAATTTAACAATAATTATAAGCAGCAACAAAAGCAAAAAGAAACACGAAAATATTCACTGCACAGTATGCTGCGACGTTCACAGTGCTAAACTGGCTCAGATTCGTGTCTTCTCTCCTTTGTTTGTCGCCTTGGAGGCACGCAGCACAGTATGCTGCGACGTTCACAGTGGTAAACTGGCTCATATTCGTGTCTTTTCTCCTTTGTTTGTCGCCTGGGAGGCACGTGACCCATCCCACAGGCCTGAGCAGGAAAGGGTTGTCGGGGTGACTTGTTCGGGATGGGAGACGTTTCGAGAAGCGAGGTGCCACGGTACCCTTCCTTCTGCCAAAATATCTGGTCATCGGAAAAGGGGAGACACCCAATCTCTTTCTGACGGAGCTTGGAGAAGTTGGCCCCAATGAGAGCTCTGGAACCTTTGTTCTGTGTGTCCTTTAGCTAATGAGCACCCAGTGCTTTTGGTTAGAAAGACCGCTCACTGCAGTTTACATCCCCTGGGGAGGGCCACGCCCCCGTAAGTGTCGCACCCTCTCAGCCACTGCCAGGGTCTGGCGGGTTTCATCCCACACTCCATAGCCCCCTCCGCTTCCTCCCCTTCTCTAAACTTCATCTTCATCTCTAACTTTCTGCTGTTGCAGGCATGGCCTGTTGCGGGCAGGATTACGTGAGTGTAGCCGAGACCAGATGCTGCTCAGCCTCCAGCGGAGCCTCGCAGCCACATGTTAGGAAGAGCAGCCGGGTGCCAGTGAGATGCTGCCAGACCGCGCTTATTCCAGGGAGCCAGGCCTGCTGCAATGGAGTTGGATATGACCCCCTGGAATCTGTCTGCTCCGACAAGGCTCCCACTGGAACCAGGGCGACGGTAACCGACAGAACACCTCTCAGAGACGCGGGCTGGAGGGCGGAGAGAGAAATACATTGTTCATGGCTATTGTTCTAGAATGGGAATGTGGAAACTGCCATTATTCATTCCCGCATTCCATCCATATTAATACCCAATGAGCTCGCTGTGATTGATGTTATTGCAGCGAATTCTAAGGGAATTGATACTGCTGAGCTAGCTGTTCTCTAGGAGCCTTACCCAGAGCTTCCGGTCAGGGCAAGACTAGAACACCGCTGTGCCCAGAAGGGCCAGGGCCTGGCGTGGTGCCATCTCATGCCCGTAGGTGTCATGGAGGGAAACACGGGATTCTGGCTGCTTCCCTCTAGTCCTTCAACCCACACCCACCACTTTTCTTTGATAGAGACCTCAGATCCAACAAATTCACTTAGTTACAAACAACTGTAAACCTACTTTTGCCCCGCACTTTATTGGCTTGCTACATCCCTATAAAATTGAGAATGATGAAATATTTTTTTCTGAGATTAAAACATATTAGTGTTTATCAAAATATATTACAAAATCTAGCAATTCATCAGAGACAAGACTTACAAGTATCCTATATAATAAAAGGCTAATAGACAAATCAACCGAATTGGGAAAGACCAGTTGCAATGACACACACTGACCACCAGGGGGCAGACGCTCAATGCAGGAGCTGCCCCCTGGTGGTCAGTGTACGTGCACAGGGCAAGCGCCACTCAGCCAGAAGCCGGGTTCATGGCTGGTGAGTGCATCAGTGGTAGTAGGAGCCTCTCCTGCCTCCAAGGCAGTGCTAAGGATGTCCAACTATATAAGCTGTCAGTTGGACATCCCCTAAGGGCTCCCAGATTGGTAGAGGGCGCAGGCCGGGCTGAGGGATCCCCCCTCCAGTGCACGAATTTCATGCACCAGGCCTCTAGTAAGTAACTATAATGGCAGTTCATGAACTACGTAGATTTTCACTTGGATGGGATACTTCTTACAGATCATACTTTCCCAACAGCATAGGAGGCGCAGATCCTTAAATATCACATTTCTTATTTTCTCAAAAACTCCACTAGGAAAGTGTCAAAGTAACAATAATAAAATACCGACGACTTTTATGAATGATAGTGGATCTACTGAATGTATGGCATTCCCAGGTGCCCTTTGAGTCACACAACAAAACTGCTACATTCAGTTTCCATTTTCTCGCTGAACAAGCTGAGGCTTGGAAAGTCTAGGTCACTTGCTCAAGGTCACAGATCTAGGGACTTGTCCAACTGGATCTTGAGTCCAAGTCTGTGTCACTTCATCACAAATGCTCTTTCTTGCACACACACACGGCCTTCACTTCTCTGTTTTACTCATTTTGAGAGATTCATTCATGAACTTGATGGAAGAAAATGTCATTAAAGTTGTAGAACTTGACCCTATGTCTGCCTAAATGCAATAGTAAAGCCCTCTCCCCTCTCCCCCACCCCCACCGCCTGGCCCAGGACACCCCCGAAGCGTGCGGCACTCTCTGCCCAGCGTCTGCGGCGGCCACAGCACATTGCGGCCGGTGTGACTTCAACTTCACCAGCCACGTTTGCACAGTGGTCAGCGGGTCTCGCAGCTCCACGGAGAGGTCACCGGTGGCAGAAGCGTGCTCCTCTGCGGAAGAGCTGGTGCACACAGGCAGCGCAGACATGTTCTCCTTCACAGGTAACGGAGGATGCAGTGCCCACGGCGCCCGAGGGGTCGTGAGAAGCTGCTGACATGCAGGCTGACTTCACTCTGACATCATCTTCCTCCTCAATCTAACGGCAGTTCATCCCATCACCCTATGGGCTAGCGAGTCACACGGTCCTTGAAGGCACATCTGGATTTGTTCAAAGTTAGCAGTTTAAATATTTTACAGTCTAACTTTAAACAAGGGTGCAGGCTATTTTGAAGTAAACCTGTAGAGAATAAGGAACAAAGAAATAAATAAGCAGTTCACCTTTATGCAGCAAGGTGTAGATGTTAAATGACACGCTATGATACGCATTTTTGAAGGATTACTGTGTTAGCTTGAACTGATTGAAGACAAACATGTCTGGGGCAGTTAAGCAATTAACGAGTAAATATTGAACATCTATATCCCCCCAAACAAAACCCTCTGTTATTAGAAGACTGACCCCATATAACATACAAAATGATCTTGAGATACAAAGTTTAAAAAAAAGTGGAAATTCTTACAAAGGGAAAAAGAGCTCCGAGAAAGAGATTATTGAGGAAAAGCAACATTTCAACAAACGATTCCTTTTGTGTAAAGTTATAAAGAATGCTTTTATGGGCTGGAAGCATCTCTGAAAGGCTGAACCTCACAGGAAAATAAAGTAATAAGGGCAAGAGGTGAAAGGGTAAAAAAGAGAAGAAGGAAATATAGAAGAAAAAATAAGGAACTGAAATTAGAAATGGTGATGTGGGCTTGCAGGGTGGGAAATAACAGCTATTTCAAGAGATAGTTTAATCTGCTGTAGCAAAGAGATTAAAAAGCACAGTGACCATCTGTGAGTAAGTGGATGGTGTGGGCATCTCCGCCCATCGTTAGTCAGGGATCCAGATTCCTTCCATTTCGTGGCTCATGGTGCTTGGGGTGCTGCCCTTGTCCACACGTTACACCCTGAGATACCATTTCCTAGTTTTAACCCATAAGCGGGACAAGAACAGCCATGGAAGGCAGTGGTTTCCTCTTTAGAAAGCGATGCACAAGGAGCCCATATCACTTCCATGCCCTTCCTGGTGGAGATCTCAGTCATGTGACCACAGCAAGCTGCAAAGAACACTGGGAAATGTGGTCTCTGGCCAGAATGGAAGGGAAATCTGCAGACCCTCGGGTGGTCATCATGGGTAACTAGGGGTGGACATCATCTTACCAGAGAAAATGGGGCCGTAAGATAATCCCTTATGTTTGATGGGAATTGACCTAATGAAGTTCTCCCATATGATTTCATTGTATTTCATTTTCCTGCTCATTCTAGAAGGTAGGCGGGGCGGGGTTAATGGTTGAAGATGTAAGAAGAATGTGGTCACACAGCCCACGTGGTTGGACTGAAAATTAACCACGTGTAGACGTGGAGCTAGAGCAGGGGGCTGGTTTGGATTGGGTGGCTGGCTTGGGGCCTGTCTCAGTTTGGGTTTGGTGGAGAGGAGAGCAGGATACAATCATTTTTCTTCACTAACCATAATACACTAGCTTCGAGTCCCGCATCTCATAACAGCTGCATTGCAATTCATAGAATAATTGAATCGAGTGATATTACACTGTAAGACTTGGTGACATTGATAATGACGAAACTATGAAAGAAGGTTGTCAAACCCGCCCCCTGCAGGAGTGGAGGGAGCATGAACTTACGAAGCAGCGACATCCGATGGACATTAGTCCAGGGCTTTTCGATCATTTCTTTATTGTGCCCATACTCTTCTGGTCAGAAAAGGTGATTTCTGTTCTGTGCCATTCCATATCTCTGCATCCATGAAACATGGAAGATATTTTTTTTATGATTCATAGAATCAAGACATTAGAGTTTTATTTCCAGGGAGAGGATTAGAGCATTAAGCCTTTTAAAAAAAAAAGTGTAAAGGTTTTGCTATTCATTTGCAGTATGATGGTAAACTAAATTTTTTTTTAAAGTCCTACCGTTCAATGTCTATCTCTCTAGATGCAAACCTGGAGCCCTATACGACATACGAGTATAGGATCTCGGCTTGGAATGGCTACGGACGAGGATTCAGCGAAGCTGTTAGAGCCAGCACGAAAGAAGACATGCCTCAGGGAGTGAGTCCGCCTCAGTGGATCAGAACGGACCGTCCTGAAGATGGAATACTCCTAAGCTGGAAGAAGCCCATACAACCGAATGGTACTAAGCTGCTTTTAAGATGGAAATACCGTAGTTCCATAAATCCATGAGCACATTGAAATGGGTGCAATCTACATGTAATTGGCATGCATCTCACCCCTAAAAAGCATTTCCTGATCAAGTGGTATTGAGGTTTGTGCCAACAAGTCATTCTTTTTGTGAAACAGCCCGCACCCATTGTGAGTCCCCAATTTTTTTTTTCTTGAGTCCCAGCCTTTACCTGGGTTGCTCTGACAAACAAAGCAGGTTATGGGAAGGCAAAATAGTTTTAATATTGAAAGCAAATTTGTTTGCTAGTGAGGGGAAATAAGCATAAATGACTCTGATTAGCTATGTCAAGAATCCATCTCCTCCCTCAGAGTGCGTATAATTAAGAACGCCTTGCACATAGCAATGTGATAGCAAATGGAAATTAAATACATAATGCCACAGCATCCCATTTGTTCCAAACTCTAAGACATGTACGTTGTTTGCAAATGGTTACAAGGTTATGATGCTCAAATGCAAGCATTTTTCTGTCTCCTTTAGGTCATATCATTCACTACATTCTTCTCCGAGATGGAGTGGAATATTTTCGGGGAAGGTCATTGGCCTTCTCTGATACAACGGGAATTGAGCCTTTTCAGGAATATTCATACCAGCTGAAAGCTTGCACGGTTGCGGGCTGTGCCCCCAGCGGCGAGGTAAGGCGAGTTTGCTCACCTCTGGGCGAAATTATCCCCTGGGAAGACTATCTGATGTCTAGGTCAAGAGTGATTTGCCCAGTGATAGAGTACAGTGTTTCTCTCTGTGTCATGTTGAGGGTGTCCAGGTGGCATTTCAATTGAGTACTAATACTTATGCCTCTCAAATTAGAGATCACTGGAAAAAAGATTTATTCAAATATCAGTGTTTCGTAAATAAATAAGAATACTTGAATCCATATATCCTTTTTACCACACTTTTCTTCCACCAACTCTTTTTATTTATTTTTAATATATTTTTATTGATTTCAGAGAGGAAGAGAGTGAGGGAGTGAGAGATAGAAACATCAATGATGAGAGAGAATCATCGATAGGTTGCCTCCTGTACACCCCACATTGGGGACCGAACACACAACCCGGGCATGTTCCGCAACTGGTAATCAAACCATGACCTCCTGGTTCATAGGTTAACACTCAACCACTGAGCCACTCCGGCCAGGCCCACTAACTATGTTTAGATGTTCTTCTGTAAATCTATGATAATTCCCAAACCAATACTCAGTTTAAAGGGGTTTCTATTTAAATAGAATTTTTCAAAAGCTCTTGGAAAATAAAAAATAAAGAAAAAAAAGCAAAAGAAGCCTAGCATAGAAAATAAAATGTTTGTAAGGTTTCTGCAACAACCTTGCCAAGAAATAATGAAGCCCTGAACTCAGGCAGCAGGGGTCAGAATGGCGATTAGCAGAAAGATACAGCAGGTATCAGAGGATAAGACAGACAGGACTTAGTGGCCAACTGTATGCAGCGGAATAAAAGCAGTGAGTCCTGGGCACTTTCAAGGTATCTGGCTGGAGTAGTGTGTGGGTCACAGTGCCATCGTGCAAGCAAAGAAAAAATCAAAAGAGGGAGAAGTTAAACGTTAAGATTAAAATTTGGTTAGTTTTTAAATACATATTTAAGAGAAGGAGCCAACAGCAGAGTGATGGGAGAAAATATTATTTGGTACTTCATGTGAAAATAATGAGTAAGAAGCAGGATTAAGAAGGGAGTGGGATGGCTCAATGGTTGAGCATCGACTAATGAACCAGGAGGTCACGGTTCAGTTCCTGGTCAGGGCACATTCCCTGATTGCAGGCTTGATCTCCAGCAGGGGGCATGCAGGAGGCAGCCAATCAGTGATTCTCTCTCATCATTGATGTTCCTCTCTCCTCTCTCTCCCTCTCCCTTCCTCTCTGAAATATATGTGACTGGAGTTTACTAGAAAGATGTATGAGGGAGATTGAAGCAAGGAGTGTTTGGCTGTGGTCCAAGCAGAAGACCACAGGTGATGAGCACTGGGGAATGCTGTGAAATGAAAGCAGAAAACCCCACCCAGGGACTGGGAGAGAGAAACCCTCCAGGGGACAATAAGGAGCCATAATCACAGGACGCCCAGGAGAACACAGACGCACACACGGCAGCTCTGGTCCTTACATGTGGTTCAACCTTTAGAGGAACAGCCTCCTCAGACCCTGCACGAGCACTGCCCAAGTCAAACATTCAGCCAGACTGGCTTCAGCTTTACAGTCCACAGGCCGTCCCCGAAACCTGTCACCCCTGTCACCCCTGGGGCAGATGGCAGCTGACCGTCCCAATCAAAAATTAGGGCCTGAGCATTCCGAGCAAAATCCGTGCCATCTGCACAGGCACAGCTCATGCTTACCACTGCCCCACCCCCTCCCCCAAAAAATGGTTAAAAGGTAAAACAGAGTAAGTTCTGTGAAAAACAAAACACAAATGCAGCCCCTTTTCTCCCCAAGTCATATTTCGACAACGTTGCACAGATAACGGGCTGATTTGTTCTTTTTCTTCTCACTTGGTCCTTTCCCAGAACATCGGGGCAGACACTGTAGTGTCATCCCGGGATCACAGGAAGCGCGGAAGACAAAGGTCTGTCCGTGTGCACTGTTCAAAGCATGCCATGTGCAAGCGAGTTCAGATGTGGCTTTTGGCTCCATGTTTACCGGTGCTTAACATGTACAAAATCAGGCTGTTAACATGCAGAGACACTCCTGGGCCATATGGGAGAGAGCTATCAAGAGTTCTCCAGGCTGACAGTCTGCCAGCCAGGCCTCACTTGTTTAAACGGAGGGCTGTTCTCTGCCGTCAGAATGGCTGTTGAGCCTGGTTGTGACAAATGGTAGCCTGAGACTTATGGAATGTGTTCAAGGTCGGATTTTATTGTTTTGATGGGATGGGAGGGAAGGAATCAAATAAAGAGGGTGCCCTTCTCCAAGCCCCTACTCATGATGTGCCAGGCCAGGCGACAACATTTTAAAACAACCCAGCCGGCATGGTTCAGTGGTTGAGAATTGACCTATGAACCAGGAGGTCATGGTTCAATTCCCAGGGCATATACCCAGGTTGTGGGCTCCATCCCGTGTGGGACGTGCAGGAGGCAGCCGATCAATGATTCTCTCTCATCATTGCTCTTTCATCTCTCTCTCCTCCCTTTCTCTCTGAAATCAATAATAAAAAAAAAAACACACGTATATTTAAAACAAAAGGGACATTCTCATGGGTGGGAGTACCTAGTGGACACCTGTGATAAGTGGCTGTTTAACTCCGTGTTCCAGGTGGTTGTCACTACTCCCCAAGGAGTCCCGCAGAGCGTCCTGCCACCGAGGATCACAGCCCCCAGTGCCGACGCCCTGCACTTGAGCTGGGATGCCCCCGAGAAACCAAATGGCATCATTACGGAGTACCAGCTCCGGCAGGTTGGGAAGGGGCTCATCCACACGGAGACCACCGACAGGAGGGAACATACGGTCACAGGTAAAACCTACCGGAGGCGTCTGTCCTCGTGGTCGGGGCGGCCGAGCATCCCAGGGGTGTGTGTGTGTGACAGATGAGGTCACTCCGAAAGGACGTGTTCTCTTGACATATGGTCAGACCCTGCTTACCCACACTAATAGAAGGAGCCACACTGGCAGCAATAAGCCACAACAGCAGATCACTTCAGAAATGATTTCTCTCTGGCTTTGATGTGCATTATGTGTAGGGGTTTTGCATCAGAATTCACTGTTTATTCCCCCCAGACAAACAGAAAGATGCATTTTCATTCCCCAAGGATACACTCACAGGTAATGGGGCGAAGGTAGCCAAGAAAGTCTTGAAAGCGCGAGGCGGGAGGGGAAATCAGCAAGAGGCCAACATTTATCTACCGAGTCGGTAATTAATACACAGAAGAGTTGACAGTTGTCTGGTTGTGACAACTTGTTATTATTAACTTCAATTAATAAGTGCATTATTTTTATTGTTTATTGTAACAGTTTATAATTAGCTTTGATAGTATAATAACAGCACAGTATAACAGTATCATGTTAGATAATTACTGGTAGTGATTATAATAATAATGAACATGTTGGAGCTTGAATGTCACTTCTGTAAGAGAGAAGGCTTTTCTGAGGTCCCCAGTCTAGCTGTGGCTTCCGTAACACACCACCACATCCCCTACGTTTCATTTTTGTCATCGACTTATCCCTGCCTGATGTTTTCGTTGGTTTTCTCTTTGTCTTTTTATGTCTCTTCCTGCTGGAACATAAGCTTTAGGAGAGCTTCATCCACCAGGTCTTCCGTTTGGTCCATTTGTGCTGTTTTAGATCGAATCAAAGAACACGTCACTTGGGGGACACAGCCCTAAAGAGAGAGCTCTCTGTTGAAAGAGCAAATAAACCTCATTCAGCAAAACCTGACCAAGTTCACAGCCACCCGGGGGTAGCCCTGGGGGACAGGAATGGTGCTAGGTAGGCATTAGATGACCTAAACCCCGAGATCTATGGAGTGTGAATGCATTTGATCTGCCAGGCAAAATTCAGCACCAGGGACAGCGGACCAACCACTTTGAACACAGACGTGTTTTGTATGAGTGACTGTTTTATTGAGGTCACGAATGAACTCAAAATAAGCAAGCGTATTTCACAGTTCATCTCAAAGGTTTGACGAAGAGCTGCCCAGACCCCCTGAGATGAATGCTTTCATTTTCTCATCATTTCCCAAGCCTCAGCATTCCCCGGGTAGCAGTGCAACACTAATGAAGTTGTACCTGTAGTCATCCCGGAGCCTGAAATCTAGGTCCTGCGAAGCGACAGCTGGGGAGCAAGCGCCGTGCCCCAGCCCCATGGTCTCCGTGCTTATTTTTAATTACCACCAAGCTTTGGAAACATGATCCCTTAAATGCTTTGTGGGAATAGCGGCAAATGCACTCCTCACGCGCAATCCATAAATTGCTTATAATCCTCTCAAGATGTTAAAAAAAGCATTAAGTAATTGAAGACAGGAAGTCCTCAGTTAATTATTTAGAGGTGTTATCAATGCTCTAAGTAAACGGGCGCGTTTTCTGCTATCTCACTGAGCTGGATTCCGCGGGGACGAGGGAGCAGCGCCATCATCTTCTCATATTCGCTAATGCAAACAGCACATGGCAGCTTGTCAATAACCGGCCTCCTCATATCCCCGGTTACCAAACACGGCCGCTGGCCCGGCCCGCACCGAGCGATCGGGATGTCAGCGTCGGCATTGTTCTATTCTGGGCTACCTACACTTTAGATGGGGGCCCTCACGTCCGCATGGGGTGGATGCAGGGGAAGGGGATTAACGAAATAATTAGGGCCGCGGAGGACAAAATGAATTAATCATGTCCTCTTTAGCGGCAGACAGGATAAGGGCTTATGTGTCTCTTAACTCCAGGGGAAATGTTTTCTTTAAAAAGTTCATTAAAAGTTGCTCTGCATTGATTTCACTTAAAGGGGAAGACACGCCAGCACTAAGTTAGCAAGGAGAGGCCTTCCGCCCGCATCCTCTGGGAAGTTCATGAGAGCTCCCTGTGCTGAAAGAGCATGTGCAGTGCTACTTAGAGCAGGACAGACAGATTTCCTGCACATCGCTTTGGGGGGAAAGAACATAGTTTGACCATCCATATCACAAAATAGGGACATTCTGTACAGTGGGATTTTACATGTGGATAAGTCTGTATGCTTCCATAGAATTTACATTCTGCTATCATCGCGTCCGTTGGACTTCGTTGCCATATCCTTTTCTCTGGTTTCTGCTCCTCAGCGAGTAGGTAAAGCTGCTGAAGGAAAGAGATGATAGCTTCCCGTCTGCCCTTGTCTCACCTGGTGGGGATGGATACCTGTCACACCACTTAACACACAGGAAGTGTTCAAAATCTTTGTCGAGGGAATACATGTTGAGTAGCCAACTGGCATCTAAATGCCTGGGTTTCATCTTTATTAGATATAAGAGTGTGACCATCAAACACATCCAAATCGCAGGCAGGTTGGGCCTCGTAATATGCAAGGCCCAGGGCATCACGAAATGAGGGGTCCCTTGTTTAACCATCATTAAGCATTTCAAGCCCAGCTGGCGTGGCTCAGTGGTTGAGCATCGACCTATGAACTAAGAGGTAACGTTTCCAGTTCTTTCTCATCATTGATGTGTGTGTGTGTGTGTGTGTGTCTCTCTCTCTCTCCTTCTCCCTTCCTCTCAGAAATTAATAAAAATGTAAAGATAGGCATGGCTGGTTGAGCATCGACCCATAAATCAGGAGGTGTGAAGGCAGGTCATTTATCCACAAGGTGTACAACACTGATGACCACCCGACAAAAACTTTTTGGAGATACCCAGGCCTCTCAGCACATGAATTAATCAGTAACCAAGTTGATAGAGGCCCTTGTGGCATTTCATAGTCTTTGGGCTATTTGGCCATTCTTTAGAATGTGACAGCTGTCACCGCAGCATACCTGGATGCGTGCTTTGAAGTAGAGCTGGCTATCCAAAATTATAACAGACAAAATGCCTTTTCCTGGCAGTTTATCTGGAGATTAAACATTAGAAACAAGCTATTCCTTACAGAGTATGTCAAACGTAACTTCCACGGGCCTGGGTTTTGTTTCCCAAATCATATCTTTATGATCCATAGGCAGACTTTTGTGTGATATTTGAGAGAGATCACCTTCTCTCAAATTGGTCTGTATCCTGTTTTCAACACACGTTTACTCTTAAAGTGAACATTACTGGGAAGTGTACTTGTAATGAGCTTGGCTATTTTATGCCTCTTTCCTTTAAAAATAAAGCACATGGTTCCCTGTGGGGAAATTCGTGTAATTTGCCGACACAGTAATCCTCACTGTGCTGAAATGTTAAATGCCTGGCTCTTCTCCATGCATTTGCCTTTCTCTTCAACAGCCGTTTCCTACTGTCTTGATTCAGTGCTGGGTGCTTGAGTGATGTTTTCTTTTCTCCTTCTCTTCGACTTCAGGATTAAGTTACAGTCCGAGGAGTTCCTTGGAGATCTCTCTTTATTTCCGTCTTCCCATCCCGATCAATTCCTGAGTACCTCTCAGTCGGTGTGCCCTTTTCATTGCCTATTGCTGATACTTCATACATATCTCATTTTAAGGGCTACCAATAGAGACTTACTAAAAATGACAGCAAATTCCCATTGAAATGTGTTGATTTTATTGAGTTGTACAGAGGCATCCGTATAAAAGACCATCTAATGCGTGGAAATCATCTCCATCTGATGGCAGCGGATACTTTCCTTACGGAGTATCTGAACCAAGCCCGTTAGTCATCCGGTCCTCTAGCAATATGAGGAATGCAGGGCCTAAGAATGGAATGGGGGGAGTTACAGATTCAGATATCCCCTTCTCTCCCATTGGTCTGTAGCCTCCATAAGTAAGTCTACACTCTCATGCCCTCATAGCCCAAACGTTTTTATGGAGCACTTTTGTATGCTTGTCTTCTTTAAACAGTATTTCACAAACAATGAACATGTACAATAGGCACGGTTAGGAAAAAATTATTTTTAAAAACCTCAAAATACCATCCCTACTCTCAAACTGCTTCCGTTCTAAGTGAGGAGTAAGCTATTCAGATGAAACGGTGTTACAAGGGTCAAGACTCCCCTTTTTCAGTGAAGGCAGTACCTGGGGGACATCATCAGGCAAACTCAGCTTTTGCCCCTGCAGTCTCTGACCTTCCTTCTGGATGTTTCCTTCCGTTTCTTTCTTGAGCTCTGTGTTTTATCATCGTTCGCATTTTCCCATCAGCTTTTATCAGACATCATGGCTTGGGTGCGACTTGGATCTTTCATCACATTCCTCGTCTGCAAATCAGCTAACTATCAAAATTGTCCAAATCCTCCATCACAACCAGATGGAAGATTCCAGTCAAACAAGCATCTGCATCTTTTCATTAAACTGATAAGGAAACGCGAAGGGCGTTGATGCTGATTCCCGGAGCAGCTCCGGCTACGGCACGTCCTTGCTTCAGCAGAGAAGCCAGACCACTGCTCTGATCCTCGACGAATCAGTTACTCGGTGGTTTTTTTCAGGTAGCGAGTGCCTGCATTGTGCGGTCACTCCTCAGAGGGTGCAGTGGTGGGCAAACCAGTGTCCTTGTTCTCTCAGAGCTTAGAGAGGGGTTGACGAACAAATAAACAGACATATAACAAAACAACAGGTAATGTTGAAGGCTAGGAAGGAAGATAGTAACTTGATAAAAAGTGTTGGGTGTAGAGGGTCAAAATCTTTAAAGATGTAGCATTTGAACAAATTTGCATGAAGTGAGAGTGACACATGGATGTCTGGAAGAGGAGTCACCCCATGCAAAGGACACAGTATGTGAAAATGTAGTTCAAAGTTCACGTGAAAGTAGTGATCATCTGATGCCTGTTATAACTAAGCCCAATTTTTTGATGTGCAAACTAAGTCTATTTAAAAAAAAAATTAAGTTTTGGCAACGTTTGAATTTTTCCAAGAATCAGAACAGGAGAGATTAGACTCAGTATACTTTTTGTTGAATGCTTCTGCATTTTTAGGCTGCTTCTGCCAAAAAAAAAAAGTGTTGTTGAAGTAACCCATTTCACCTTCTCAACAGTCTTAGGAGCTACATGCTACCAGGTAGATTTCCCCTTTTACAGGTCAGTAGATCAAGGTAAAGAAAAGCCAAATGACTTTCCAAGGTCACCAGCCAGGAAGTGGTAAAGTCTAACAACATGGAACTTGTGTTGCAAAAGGATTCTCATTTTTTTCTCCCTGGGATCTTCTTATTGAGCTGCTACTGCGCTGTATTAGTCTAAATACAAAAAAAAAGTGATGAGCACTGTCCCCTCATCAAATTGTGTTTATGTGTAAAGACAAAACGAGCATTCCCCCAAAACAACTACAGCAGTAAGTGAGATGGTCAACTATCTCATGGTGAAGAAGTACAAAGCTTAAAGAAGGAGGGTTAGTTGGTGTCAATATTAGCTGAATATGGCTCAGGGCTAAAAAGAACGTTGAATCTAGCATTCTTCTTTTTTTTTTATTTTTTCCGCCCCTATTCATGTAAGAAGCAATTGCAGAAACTGGGATGGTTAGCCCAGAGAAGAGGCGACTCAGGGGGCATTGAGAACTGTCCACAAATATTTGAAGAACTGTCATGTGGAAAAGAAATTAGATTTGTTCTGTATGTCCCTAGGGCTGGAAGTGATCGAAAGAGTTCGCCACAGTGCAAGGAAGGACTTTTAAGCAAAACAAGAACTCGGGAGCTCTCTAAGTGTGAGGTGGGCTCCTTGAGAGACAGAGGGCTCCTGCCACCTGGGCAGGGCGGCCTCGCCAATGGCCTGTGGTCCAGGGGAATCAAAAGAAAGGCGGATGGCTGGATTCCATGAATAAATCCCTTCGAAGGCTGAGAATTTCTTATTTCATCAGTGATTAATGAAGTTTCTATTAATACTGAACTGCTTATGAAGCTCCCATCTTCCTTAAAGAGTGTTTTCTGTTCTTAAAAAAAAAAAAATTGGATACCGTATCGGCAACTCTGCATGTCACTTCTGGTGCTTCGTTGATAATAAATAATCCTCTCCAGATGAACTTGATTGCTTGTTTGCTCTTTCTAGGTCTCCAGCCGTATACCAGCTACAGCTTCACTCTTACAGCTTGTACATCTGCCGGGTGCACTTCAAGTGAGCCTTTTCTAGGTCAGACTCTGCAGGCAGCGCCTCAAGGTAATTAAAAATACCCACGATTTGGTAGAAGACCTTTCCTGTGACAGTTTTAAGTAAACTCTCTGAACTCTTTTATAACAAACAAGGAAGACGGCATAAAGCCAGTAGGTAAGAAAGAAAATAAAATTCTGGGTCTCCATGCTTCGAGTTTGGGTCAGCTGTAAGCCTTCCAAGTTAATGCTCACTTTGCATTCTTTAAACCTTTTTGATTTAGTGTTATATAGTAGTTGTTACTATTCTAGACATGGATATGAAATTCCTCCAAAAATCAAAAGTTAGGTATTTCTGGAGTTCCTAGTATAATAAGCACCAGCTGGCATTGACCAAAATATCCACTGCCCTCTAGACCTTGCAATCAGGTAGAAGTGTATAGGTCAGGTACCCAAACCTATAGGAAGAGGGAGAATCCAAAAGGTGATGTTCCGAAAGAACAGGGACAGAATGCTCAGGTGAAGCTGAGGGGGGAGTGATGACAACCTATCCGGGCATCCAGTGACATTTCAGGGAGCAGTTGATGTCTGAGAGGGACCACAAGGAATAAGGATGTTGACAAGTGAACAGTGGAAGGACTGTACAAACATGGCTTGAGGGAATGTAAAGTGGGGCCATCACTGTAGAAGGCAAATTAACAAAATCTGTCCATTTTGAAATGTTAATTCCCTGTAACATAGCCGTTTTCTTTTAATGAGCTATGCCAGAGAATGACTTTTCCACACTGCACAAGGAGGCCTGTACCGGGGTGTGTATTGAACCGTAATTTGTTTGTCTAATGCAAAATATTAGAAGCAACTTAAATGTGAGTACAGGAGTTGCTAAATAATTTTGGGTGTTTCGGATATACTTACACTGTGGAATTGTATGCATCAGTTTAAAAGAATGAGATGATACTGGCCAGTGTAGCTTCATCAACCCACAAACTGGTTCGATTCCTGGGCAAGGCACATGCCAGGGTTGTGGGCTTGATCCCCAGTAGTGGGTATGAGGAGGCAGCCAAATGATGTTCCTATCTCATCAATATTTCTATCTCTCCCCCTCTTTCTCTCTCTCAAATAATCAATGAAAACATTTAAAATTTTTTTGAACAAATGAAAAGATCTGCACATATCAAGAAGTTATAGAACTACATTAATATATTGTATTTTATGTACAAGAAGCACAAATAGAAAATAATATTTATCTATATAGATGAATGCATAGACAAATTCTGGGAGCGTACACACCCATCTGATAACAATGGTTACCTGTGGATTGAGGACTGGGGTGGGTGTTATCATTTACTTTTAAGAGAAAAACATCTTAAAACATGCTCAGAAGCTTGGGCTAGTGATTAACTAATTATTTTTTAAGCTTTATTATCTGCCTGTTCTGCACGTGGGGAAATAGAGGCATAAATAAATTTCTGAACAGAAGTGTGATGTTAACTACCATCATAGAGTCCTGAACCGCCTGTCCATTACTCTGCTAATGAAAGGGATTGTTGTACCTCAGAATATTAGACCTGAACTTCCTACCAGTAAATGGGGAATAAAATGGAAAATTCCACGTAGGGACATATGGCTCCTCACCAGGAATTCACTAATGATGTTTTCTATATAAAGAATGCTTCATGTCAAAAAGCTTAGTGTTCCTTTGAAAGGAAGAAACCAGCAGTGGATTTTTTGGAAAGGTACACTATCAAATGGATACTCTGATGATAATGGATAATTTCTGAAGGATCTACCAGCCACTTTTGGCTGAAACTCAAGCCTGATAAAATAACAGGGTTTCTTCCTCTGGTTTCCTCATGAAATCCATACATTTAAATTCTTAGGAGATAAGTGTCTATTTTCCCACAAACCCAACAGCATTTCTTTTGAAAAGACTCAGATTTCGTGACTTAAAAATTATAGCTTTCAGCAGCGCAGGGGAGTGTGAGCTGAGAAATGCTATCCTTGACTTCCTTTTTCTTTAACTTTACGCACCTTTCCTCGAACACAAATAGCTGTGCAAAGGAGTAATAAACGAAATGGGCTTTCCCGCACAGGAGAAACAATGGATTTAGAATCCATTTTCTGGCTGCATAAGTGCCATTTGTGAATAACTTGTATGTGAAATAAATGTAGTCGGCGTGTTTAACTGGGGAGTTGTAGGGAAACCAATCACCAGCAGCATTAAGTTCTGTTGTTGTACTATAAAGTGGAAACAAACACATCATCTTAAATTAATAACCCAAACACCATTATAAAATGCCTATTGGTGCGAATTAGACGTAGATCGAAGGTCTAACGTTTGAGTGTCCTAAGTGGATGTGGAGAGAAATAAAAGAAGCATTTGTTCAGAGCCACCCTCAGCTCCTCTCACTTCTCTCTCATTTTCAATCTAAAAACAAGAAGAAGAAAAGTGAATGTACATCATAACCTCGTTGATCAGTTGGACATAATTCTCGACAATTCTGCCCTCATAGAAAATTCCTTTAGTCAAATAGTGGGGTGAATTTGAATTGCTGCTTTCTTTTTAGAATGGCCCAACACTGAAAATGACACAACATTGGGTAGAATGCCAAATGAACAAATTAACAAATAGTACATAGTCTGGATGTCACTGCCTCCCTGACATCATCTAATAGAAAACTGGTTCCCCTCGCCTTCTTCCAGGGGGAAAAAAAAAAAGGCCAATCCACAACAAATACTGGGATTTTTCTATCGGCATGAAGATGTTTAGGGGCATGAGAGTGGGTAACATTACATGGCGCTCAAGATGAATTTCAAAGGAACCCAGTGGACATCTTCCTTTGTTGGTGGTTATGATGTCAAGAGACCTACCAAGGCTTCCTTCTGGAATTTCGCTCTTGTCCTCTCACCTAGCTTACCCACTCAAGGCAGTTTCCCTCGTGCCCATGTATTTTCTTCCCTTGAGCTGCCTTAGCTCACCCTTCTGTTATGTAGAATAGGTTTGCTGCTGCCACCTGAGAGTCAGGCTCAGAGAGGGACAGAGTCTCCATCTGGGACTCATTAAGACATCTCACCAAAGGTGGTCTCACTCTCTCAACGATTCCTTACAGCTGCCAAGATAACACTGTCTCCATATCATTATAGAAATAAAAACATAGCCCTTGGTCTTTCATATTTCAGGTCCCTCTTATAAACCAAACCTGTGGGCACAGGGTTGTTGCCAACATGAGCAGAGCTTGTACGAATGTGAAACTCAGCTTTTACCTAGAACATGATGCAAACCCAAAATGTGGCTTCATTTTATTTCATTACTCCATATCCACAGGCTGTATTGACTGGGTTAAACTGGAAGCTAAGAAATATTATTTTTTATATCTTGCTGATTTTTAGTACATCCCTTCAAGGTGACTAAGAGTTGACTGTGGGAAGAAGATTATGAATGAACTTTTGTACTTGCTCTTAAATCAACAAATTAATACGTATCATGTTAAAGTCAGAACTCGAATTAGTTGGTTGAGTCATCTGGCTGCCGTTGGCAGAGAAACTCAGAAAAAAAGAACATACACTGTGATTTGTGGATTTGTCCAAGTATCTAACGTAGAGCAAGCTTTCAGAACGAAATGAACTTCTTTCTTCTCAGGAACCAATTGTTCCTTAGACAATCAGTAAGTCTGAGCCATTTTGAAATCACTCTAAATAAATTGCATTTGAATTTCCTGAAAATTTTTCTTTAAAAGTTTCACCTTCTTACCTGTAACGGAGTAACTTACACAGGAGATACAATCAAGCTAAAACTACTCATTAAAGGAACCTAATATTGAACTGGGTTTTTAAAAGCTGAAGAAGAGGGTGACAGTGTCCCTTAGAACATACGTAGGTGACAACGTGAAGTGGTGGGATTGAGCTTTCTCGTCATGAGGTTCTCTACCAGTATGTTTATACGTCCATAAGAGTACTTGTTTGTTTGACCTGGAATGACAGTTCTTTGTGCACATATTTTACCCTTTAAACAGAATGGTAGACTCCTTAAAGGAATGAGCCACGTCTTCGTCGTCCCTGTAATTGCTGGAACTGCCTGGAGTGCTTAGCATAGTAATTTACAGGAGAGCCGTTTCCAACAAATGCATTCATTCAGCATTCATTAGGCATTGTGCTATCTACAAAGACTGACATATAACACAGGGAAGACCCATAGAGCAAACTGTACTGACACAGTAGAAAGAAGTAAACTGTATGATTGTAACAACATGAAGATAATGATAACATCAAAGAAAGAAGAGGAGTATGATGCTAGGGGTGTTCAGAGGGAAATAGAAATGGGCATATGATAGAGAGGAACTAGGTTGGGATCGTTTTATAGGGTTAAAGTTAGAGTTAGGGAAGGGGGGTTAATTAAGACCTCCCTGACAAGGGAATATTTACACACATTGTGGAACTGTGAAGTTCAAATGCAAAAATATCACGGTGTCATGAGCAAAGTGTTCCAGGCAGAGGGAATGGAAGTGCAGAAGCCCAGAGCTGGGAAAGAACTGGAAACATCTGGGGATAAAGGAGTCTTTTGTGGATGGAGAGAAGAGTGCCCGGTAGGCCAGAGCCAGAAAAATGTAGGGCCACCCAGGCTAGCATAAGGAGTTGAAATGATGTGAATCATTTTAAAAGCGTTATATATTTTATAAAGGTTGCATTGGCCTGCCTGGCATGGCTCAGTGGTTGAGTGTTGACCTATGAACCAGGAGGTCACAGTTCAACTCCCAGTCAGGCCACATGCCCGGGGTGTGGGCTCGATCCCCAGTGGGGGTTGTGCAGGAGGCAGCTGATCAACGATTCTCTGTCATCATTGATGTTTTTATCTATCTCCTTCCTTTACTCTTGAAATCAATAAAAATCTATTTTTTAAAATGATTGCATTGGCATGCATATATATATATATATATATATATACACACACATATATTTACATATATGTATATATATGCCTATAGAGAAAGAGGGGGAGAATGCACTTTTATAAATATTAAAATGAAATATGGCAGTAAAAATATAGAGAACGATATGCATTCAGGGTAGATAACCTGCAAGACTTGATGATAGATTGCATTTGAGAGTGGGAAAAGTGAAAGCCTCTAGAATAAATTTTTTGGCCCAATAGACGGACATCGGGAAATGAGCAGATTGTAGACAGGAAAAGCCAGAGTTCCGTTTTGGATGTTTGAAGTTCTCTATGTGTAATTAGTCATCCAAATGGAGGTGTCAAGTAGACAGTTAGATTCATGAGACTGAAGCTGGGGAGAGAGTTTCAGCCTCATGATTGGCACTTGGGCGTGTTCAGCATGCAGATGATCCAGGAAACGGAGACTGCGTGGAGATCACGTAGAAAGTGAGTTTGGGGAAAGAGGAGAGGAAGGGAGGGAAGAGGAAAGACGATGACCTAGGTCTCTGAGGACTGAGCCACTTTGAGGTTCAGTAGGGGAGACGGAGCCTGTGGGGCTGGAGGGAGTGGCCGAGAGAATGGAGGAAAAGAAACAGCACATGGCGTCAGAGAGGCAAAGAGAAAGTAGGCTTATTTGGTGACGTGGATAATTCAGGTAAATACTAGGTTATGTTGCTTTCACATATTCCCTCAGGTCATGATTACATTCAGAGTAACAGCCATGTCAGAGAAGTTTCCCATCCCTACTTGGATGACATTCACTTCTTAAGGGCAATTCAAAAATAAAATAAAGATATATATATATATCTCCAATTATGTATTTCACCTCCAAAGTAAAAATATCTTGTCATTTGCCATGAGATTTGTTTTATCAACAGATAAGAGCATCCGAGCATGCCATGACATTGATGAGATGTGTATTGTATCCTAACACTGAACCCTCATTGTGTTATTTTTGCCAGGCGTGTGGGCGACACCTGGACACATTATCATCAGTTCTACAGCCGTGGAATTACACTGGGGGCCGCCGGATAGGCCCAATGGCCTTATTTCCTGGTATCAGCTGATTCGTAATGGCACCTCGGTTTTCCTGGGGGGCAGCGAGAAACAGCATTTCACTGATCAGAACCTGGCGCCCAACAGCAGGTAAACCAAGAGAAGACTTTACCAATCAAACAGTTAGAGTTTCAGATTTTTCAGGGTTGAAAAGAGTGTATCTCCCACTGAAACAATATTCCATTAATTAGTTAATCTCCTCATTCATTTGCCATTGAATAGCTGATGAGATCATTGAATCCATTTCAGATATCAATGATCCAAGAGCTGGCTCGTTATGTTAGTCTTCAGGATACACGAAATTTCTTAAAAATCTTCTAGATGACTTGAAAGCATGAGAATTTTTAAGTAGATAAAAAATACAAAGTATTAAACTCTAAAAATTTAATATCTTCAAATTATGCATTCCTAAACTAGCACTAAAAGAAATTTAAAGAGTTTTATTTTAGGTCAACTACCTTTTCTTCTGATACAATGTTTTCTCTGCTTTCTACACTCTCTATAGACCTGGGTGGTTTTAGGGGGGAAATCCACTATTTGCAATTCATTTCTCAGCAGAGACAAGATATATTTTAGATCAACAGATGTTCTATTGCAGAGAATAAAGATCAATTTAGTTTTATTGTAGAGAATGGCAGATCAATTTAGAAACATCTTCCTCTAAACATATTTCCCTGAACTCTAACCCATTTAAAAATGGGGAAGATTAATTGGAATCCTCCACAGTGTACTAGCACACTCCAAGGTGCTCCTGAAATCTTGAAGAAAAGCCATGGATTGCCAGAGGGTTAAAAATAAGTGTCAACCTATGAACCAGGAGGTCTCGGTTCCATTAGAGGGTTAAAAATAAAGTGGCTCAGTGGTTAAGTGTCAAGCTATGAACCAGGAGGACACAGTTCCATTCCAGGTCAGGGCACATGCCCAGGTTGCAGGCTTGATCCCCAATGTGGGACGTGCAGGAAGCAGCCGATCAATGATTCTCATCACTGATGTTTCTATTTCTCTCTCCCTCTCCCTTCCTCTCTGAAATCAATAAAAATATATTATTTAAAATAAAGTGGGGAGGGACAGAAATAGTGATTACCTGCAGGCAGTCCTGCCCATGCTAGACAAACTACCTAGTCTGTGGCGCAGTTTCTAAACAGGGAACAAGGAGTTTGCAGGTTGCCACAAATTTAGGACTAAGCCGTGGGTAGAAAAACCAGCAACCCTTGTTCAGTCCTCTCCTGCTTGGCCTTACAGCATGTTTTGTTTTCTGATTTAGATACATTTACAAGTTGGAAGCCACAACTGGAGGCGGCAGTAGTTTTAGTGACGAGTACCTTGTACAAACACCTCTCCTGACACCAGAAGAAATCCATGCTCCATACAATGTCACTGTGATTGGGCCTTACTCCGTGTTCGTAGCCTGGACCCCACCAGGTAAATAAATAGTGTGTGTGTGTGTGTGAAACATTTTAGAGGACATTAATTGCAAGTAAGGATTTTATGTATGTGAATTTAGGAAATCATGTTTCCTGAATAATATAAACAAAATAATCCAAGCCGTACTTTTGCAGCTATGCATGAATAAGTTACATATGCATGCCTACATATAGCTAGATAGAGAGCTATATAGATACCCAGATATATGTTATTCTATCAAAGCAATACTTTATTTCAAGTACCAGAACCTAAAAAGGTCTGTTTCTTCACACATATATATCACTGCACTGATTACTTTCTCGGAATAGCAGCGCTGGCTTGCGACCTTCGGGACCTTCGGCACGTTGCTCCTTGGCATTTTGATAATTCCATCGTGTTTTCGTGCCACAGAGTAAAATGAGGCCGAACAGAGCCCATCTGGCACCAGATCCACCCTATTGACTGGCTGGTTCTCAGACTCAGACCAGGGTCCTCTACCAACCAGACTTTCAGAGAGCCATGTGACCAGGGAGGTCCCTGGCTCACCACGTCACCTGCGCTTTTAACATTATCACACGCATAAGTGGCCATTGGTCATCTGAAGACTTCCCACTTAGTAAGGATGCGGAAACCTCTTTCTTTTAAGACACCCAAGTGGCAGAGGGGGGTGGTGGATGAGAAAACGAGGATTCAGATCCCAGCAATGCCACCTATTAGCTGACCTCAAGCAGCCATTTCTTCTCTCTCGGTCTGTCACCCTATCTGTAAAATGGAGAAAATGGCAGTTCCTGCGTGTATAGAGTCCTTATAAAAGACTGAATGAGGTAATATATATAATTGGCATTTTCTGGTTTGAAATATTCTAGTAGTGACAGTGATTTTCAAATAATTATTTTTGCCTTTAGTTACTCACTTTTTAAAAATGTATTTGCTCCAACATTTGCTAGGTCCCAAGGTCCCTATCATGACTATAAAACAGCAGGAGTGGGTTAGTCCATTTTTAAGAATTTTTTCATATTTCCCCGTATTTTTGCCATTTTTTGTTTGAGTTCAACATCCTACATCTGCGTTTAATGAAAAATGTTTCCATTTAGAAAGGGATCATTGTGACATATAATACATCTTTTGCTTCTTTAATAGAATCTTAACTCTTGTCTACCACAAGCTTTGCAGAAATTGCTCATTCCAACCCAGCCCTGGAGCTATTGCAGAAAAGGTTTACACACTAACTCTGCCCGTGTAACCAATGGTTAATAAATCTATAATATCCAGACCTGTCAATCTTTTAGTTTCAGATGCACAAAATCCATTACAGAAACCCTGTAATATATGGAAAGATTAAAATCTTAAATTACACTCTTTTCCCGGTGCCTAGAAGGATTTCGAACTCAGTAAACAGGCAGGTGATTCTGACTCGTGTATAATCTGCGGTTGCTTTTATTGGGAAGTACCTCATGCTGTGTTTTGATTGGGATAATAAAAATATTTTTCTGTTCCTGGATTGTCACAAATATATATTTTAAACAGGAAGAAAACAACCCTGTAATGACTGAGAGCTGTTTATTTGCTCACAATCAGGAGCTCTCTGGGTATAGATCAGAGCCCCCTGCCATTACAAGATATTACATCATAGGCAGAGCTGAGAGGTGGGCACAGCCGTCCCTACCCGGAGTTACTCAGCCTGAATGAGCATAAGAATCACCTGCAAATACTGAGCATGAATCTCCTGGAGAGCCCAGTTGGCATGGCTCAGTGGTTAAGCATCGACCTATGAGTCAGGAGGTCACGGTTCGATTCCCGGTCAAGGATACATTCCCGGGTCTTGGGCTCGATCCCCAGTAGGGAGTGTGTAGGAGGCAGCCAGTCAGTGATTCTCTCTCATCATTGATGTTCCTAGCTCTCCCTCTCCCTTCTTCTCTGAAATCAATAAAAAAATTTTTTTTAAAGTTCTTAGATGGAATCGAAGAAGCTAAACCTTTCTTAAAGGTCCCACAAGATTAGGGACTATGAATCACCCACACCCAGTAAAACTAATTCTCCGAAAACATAAATCAAACCAGTGTCTTTTGAATGCCCAAAGTGAAAATAGTGGGAAAATTAACTAGGTGGGTTTCTTTTCGTGTATTTTGGTTTTGGGTCTGTATGGACTGAGGGACCTCCCACATTCTTAGAGAATAAAGTCAAGGTGGTTGGTTGGCTATAGAGAAATACCTAGGCCATTAAGTGGGTTTTCAGTTTACAAATATCTTGATATTTCTTTCTGTGAAAAAGAGATGAAATGCCTGCTCTGCATTGCTGTTCTGTGAAGTTAGCGAGTCAGCATTGCAAAACTTCTAGTATTCGGCTTGTCCATGCTGCCCATTAATTACTATTCAAATCTATAGACGATGTAGACCAGGTTGGTTTATTCCCAAACATGTCTTCCCACCTCTCACCAGCTCTGAACCTTGGGGTCAGGACTCGCACATTGATATGAAACAGACCAGAGGACCCACACTACCTTAGTGGGTGAAAATGTACAGAAAATGAGGAAGCAAATTGCTTCATGGTAGACAAATGGTTTGCTCAGAATAATGGAGACAGATCTCCCTGCTGTTTGAGAATCTAAACATGCAAAATTATTTAAGCTCTGGATGCAGTGATGAGCCTTTCTCATTTATCAAGGTGATGACTATATTTTGAACTCTGCTAGCCCTAATCATGTTCTAATTAACAATGTCATCGCATGTAGCAGGCACTTTTTCTCCCTAAAGATGGTGAGTTATTTAGGCTTAACGCATAATGTCAGAATACTTGTGCTTTTCCTTCCACATGTATCGCTGAGTCCATTAAAGAAAAGAATTGGCAACAAGTCTTCCACTGAGAAATTTCAATTAGTATTGCTTAGGAATATAAATGTTTTTTATTAATCAAGATTTGATTAAAGGGTAGCTAGCCACAGTGTGTCCTTTCTGTAGACACCGGACCATAGACACCGGACCACTTGGCGTTCTCCGTGGTCGGCAAACTGCGGCTTGCGAGTCACATGTGGCTCTTTGGCCCCTTGAGTGTGGCTCTTCCTAAGCCTTAGGAGTACCCTAATGAAGTTAGTAACAGTGTACCCACCTATGTAGTTGAAGTTTAAAAAATTTGGCTCTCAAAAGAAATTTCAATCGTTGTACTGCTGATATTTGGCTCTGTTGAGTAATGAGTTTGCCGACCACTGTGTTAGATCATCGGCTGCAGTGTACTAGGTATTAGATCAGATACTGTCCACTTAAAGGGAAAATGGGCATTCAGATTTCTAAGAATCCATGTTGCATTAAATGGGATGATTCAACATTGGCAAGTGTTTCACTTTTCTTATCACCAAGTGACCGTGAGTTTCAGGAGAAATGTAGAACTTATATTAATGATTTTTGGTTTATTTGCATATTTTTATTAGAACATTTAAGTTCTCTTTTAGCAAATTCCAATTATAGAACACAGTGTTTTCAAATATAGTGACCATGTTATGCATTAGATCCTCAGACCTTTTTCATCTTATAATTGAAGGATTGCACCCTTCCATTTCTGTTTCTTTTTTTGAAAAATGTTTCTCCATGTCCTTTATCCATTTTTTGAACTGGATTATTTTTATTTGTTTGTTTGTTTGCTTTTGTTGTTGCTGTTTTTTTCTATTGAGTTGTATGAGTTCCTTGTATACTTGGATATTTAACCCTTTATCATGTAAGTAGCTTATATGTATTTTCTCCTATTTCATAGTCTGCCTTTTCATTTTGTTGGTGGTTTCCTTTACTGTGCAGAAGCTTTTTAGTTTGCTGTAGTCCCACTTGTTTACTTTGCTTTTGTTGCCTTTGCTTTGGGTGTTTAACTAAATGTATCTTACAGAAGCTTTTTAGTTTGCTGTGATCCCACTTGTTTACTTTGCTTTTGTGGCCTTTGCTTTGGGTGTTTAACTAAATGTATCTTACTTTACTGAGTTCTAATATGTACTGGGCATTTTCGTACAAGATTAACACATATTTCAGTTAATGCTCAGTGCATCTTATAGTGGCCTATGGTCTTCCCTACATTACTAATGAGGAAAGTCAGTGTAGATGTGATGAGCTATTTTTCTTGTTTGATCACATCGGTGTCAGAGCAGAATCACAGTGAGTCTGACTCCAAATTCTGTGGTCACCACCACTGTGCTATATTTTCTCACTATTTTTCAGTGTAAACAGTGCGGGGAGTAAATGATTCTCTCTGCATTCTACTCTGATACGGATCCAAAGCTCACAAACTTTGCTGTAGGTATGGCACATGTGAATGAGGGCAAAGTTGCTCAAGGATAGTTCACCAGCAACCCAGCAGGGTCACTGCGCCTGTAGCTTCATCTTCATGGATGCAGTTCATTTGCTTTTGGATGGATAATTCATCCACTCATTGTCACTGACATGAGAATCTTTCCTGAGCCCCGCCCATGGGGAAGGCGTGATTCTGGACACTGAGGGTTATAGAGAAAGAGACGTTGTCCCTCCTGCCAGGAACGCTGCCATGTAATAGGATAGAGTGCATAAGGTGACAACTATCATTCAAACTATGGATGTGTGTTTCACTTTCACACCCCCAAAAGGACATAGCCACACTATTCCTACCTGGACCAAGAAGAATTTAGGCTGATTTCTTAAAAGCAGTATGTTAAGTGCAACTGACGTTTTGAAGCGCATGAGGCTATCAAGCTGAATTAATAGTTTCCCTGTTAGAATTGTTCCTGCTCCAGCTCCTAAAAAATATATATATTTTTGAAAGATTGATTGACTCGTCCCATTGTAAAGTACGCACCTGCTGTGAAATGAAACCACAGAGAGAGAAAAGTGGAATAATTTAACTTTTGTATTTGTAAAGGTAATCAGGGTTTTTCTGATTACATCTTAACTTCATAAATGTTAAATAACCTATCAGCATCTAGTTGTTGTAAATTATGAAAGGGGGCCCTGCAAGGAATATTAAGCACCGGGCCCCTTGTTCTTCAGCGAGCGGGGAAATGGGCTGCGGCAGCCTGTCACCGGGCGACGGGTAGCTTTGACACGGAATAACGCAGCTGCCGTTTGCACTTAGGGGAAATTGGCTCACTCGGGTTTCCACTGCTCCTCCCGGTCTGACATAAATGTAGGAACTCGGGGGCCAACCCGGTCTTGGGGCTTCCCAGCTGACTCTCGCAAACATGCCCACTCCATCCCAGTTAGCCAGCGGAATACCAGGCAGCCGGGCCGGCTCAGACTTCTTGCAGATGGCACGGGCTTGGCGGGGACACAGGGGGCTGTCATGTCACCGTTCTGGAGGTTGTGACAGGGGAGGGGCCTCGTTCCTGCACGCGTGTCAGTGTTTGACAGGCTCGCAGCGTCCAGGGGCATTCTCTGCCTCCGCCCCTCCTTGGTGGGCGCGAAGGACGTTTGCTTTTGATTAGGCAAGACGTGAAAAGTGTCTTTGCAGGTTCATGCTTTGGCTAGCCATGTTTAAACCTAGATCAGGACTGTGTCTAGCCGGGCCAGTGTGCTCAGTGGGTTCGGCATCGTCAAGTGCACCAGGAGGTCGCTGGTTAGATTCCCTGCCCTGGTTGCAGGCTCGATCCCCAGTAGTGGGTGTGCAGGAAGCTTTAAATGTAAAATGTAAAAGAGCCCTAGCCAGTTTGGCTCAGTGGATAGAGAGCGATGGCCTGTGGACCGAAGGGTCCCAGGTTCGATTACGGTCAAGGGCACATGCCGCGGTTGCAGGCTCCTCCCTGGAGGCAACCAGTCGATGTGTTTCTCTCTCATTGATGTTTCCTTCAGAGACTCCTATTTTTATCTGTTTCACAAATCCCCTCGCAGCTCTGGTTTGTAGCAGCTCTTGTGCCGTTTGCGTACTGAGGCTATAGCTGCCAGAAGCAAAACCACATTGCGTTCTTCAGACCCCGTCTCGTGGGTTGAGCCCTGTGCTGTAGATTTCATTGTTTCTACAACATTGTTAAACTTAGGTACTACAAAGGTAAATCATTAAGCCCATGAACGTTATGATCGTCAGATCAGTGAGAAAACTTCGTGGGAAAACTTAACTCTGTTCCTCATTCAAGGCCCATTCCTCCCCTTAAGCCAGTGTGTACGTTGAGTGTGATCAAATAAAGCTTACAGACATTCAATCAGATGACTGCATTGTGAAGAGGCTCACATGACAAGACCTCCTTTCGTTGGGATGTATTGTGAAAAATGACATTTTTTAAACCCAAATTTCATATGTATTCAGACCCGTAAGTCTCACTGACAGAGTGGACTGTCCTGACTCCGTAATTAATGCACTGGGGATTCTCTAGGTAGGCTCTGATTTGGATATTTTATGGGCTATTATGTCAAAGATCCGTGTCAGACTGGATGCGTACACAATGCCTACAGAAAAATTATTGCCACAAGTGAAACTGGTGGGGAGATATATATATATTTATACACCTTAAGAGTAAGCCTAGGAAAAGCCGATGACACCATTTCTAATTGCCTTATACTTTTTAAGAGGTGAAATGTGCTTTGTATTCATTTGCCTGTAGAGTATCTCTCTGAAAAGAACTATTATACTTCATTTGTTTTTTTAAATGGTGATGCTCATTTCTTACTTTGGAATATGCATTCTAGTATTTCCCAGTTTACGTCGCATGCCATTATTAATTGCTGTATTAAGCAATAATATGCCTTTATGTTATAAAAGTTTAAATATATGTTGTTCTTAAGAGATAGACATTTGTTGACCATTCTGTGCAGCGTACACATGTTTTATTTTTCTCTCTCTCAAGGGATACTGATCCCCCAGATGCCCGTGGAGTACAGTGTCCTACTCAGTGCTGGCAGCGTGGCACCTGTCACCTCCGCTGTGGGTCAGCGTCAGTCCGTCCTGCTGGGAAATTTGGCTCCATTTACACCGTATGAGATAAGGATACAAGCGTGTCAAAATGGTGAATGTCTTTCAGACACTTGTTCTGGGCTATTATAAAAAAAAAAAGATTTTATATATTTAAAAAAATGAAGGGATAGATTCTCAATTCAAATACAAAGGCTAACATTTCATTTCTCATTTGTCCTGAGCTATTTACCCAGAAAAATCAGCGCCTGGTATTGAGTGGAGCATTATGCATTTCTGCACATTAAATCATGAATATTTAAATATAGAATTAAAAGAGTGGTTTTGCAAAGTCTTGTTTTATCAGGCCCTTGAAAGGAAAAACACCTGCACCGCACAGGCGGATCGCTGGTACTTATAAGACAAGTCGGGTATTACAGAAATCGCATGGGCAATGTGGTCACCTTGGTTCTGTTTAAACTTTATTCGGGAGGGGCTGGGGGGAACGGGGGCATCATTTAGAAGCTGAGTTACACTCAAATGAATCATAGATATTTTAAGGCCCTTCCCTGACCCCTATCTTATGTACATAACCTGTCACCTTGAGTTGCGTGGCTTAGACTAGTGGTCAATGAAGTCATCTGCCTCTCTCACTCTTAAATGTTCTATATTATATAACACCCAATTGCTAAGAAAAGGAAGAATGTAACTCATATTGGTGTAATTCATCTTAGGTTAAAGAAATGTTGAGTACAAGACTGTGCTACATGTCCCATAGGAACTTCTGGGATTTTTTTGTTTGTTTGTTTTAAATATATTTTATTGATTTCAAAGAGGAAGGGAGAGGGATAGAGAGAGAGAGAAGCATCAATGATGAGAGGGACTCATTGATTGGCTGCCTCTTGCACAACCAGGGCATGTGCCGTTGACCGGAATCGAACCCGGGACCCTTCAGTCCCGAGGCCAATGCTCTGTCACTGAGCCAAACAGGTTAGGGCAGAACTTCTGTTTTTTGGTTTTGTTTTCAGTTTTGTTTTGTTTTGTTTTTTAATTCACTGCGGTGACTTTGGTTAATACGATCATATGTTTCAAGTGTACAATTCTCTAACACATCATCTGTATATGGCATTGTGTGCTCCTTACCCCAAGTCAAGTCTCCTTCCATCACCAGTTATTCCCCTTTCACCCTCTTCCACTTCCCCCACCCCCTTTCCCTCTGAGAATCACCAGACTGTTGTCTGTGTCTCTGAGTTTTTCCTTGCTTAATCCCTTCCGCTTTTGCATTCAGCCCCAGCCCCCTCTCTTCTGGCAGCTGTCAGCCTGTTGTCTGTGCCTGTGAGTCTGTTTCTGTTTTGTTAGTTTATTTTGTTCGTCAGGTGAGTACTAGTTCCCATAGAGTTGTTTAGGATGAGGGGGTCAGTGATTTTGCTCTCCTTTCATTCTGAAAGTGTGACTCAGTTTGCCCACTTCTCTGTGCAGACCAGACCAAGGCCTTTCGGTTTGAAGGGTATTGCTGTCCCCGATGTGGTCTTCAGCAAATCAACATGGAAATAACCTTTCATTAATGTTCCCTTGATTTACATGTAAAATCAACTTCTCCCCTCTGGGTCCCTCCATCTAGGCTATGAAGAACCAATATCCTTCAAGTTAATTGTTTGATTCCTGTGTGTTGAGAGATGGTCATTCTTTTAAAATACTGGCAAAAAATGATTAAGAGCATAAAAGATGTGTAGGTCACAACTTAAGAAATTAAGCATAAGAAAGAAAAAAAATTAAACACATTGCTTTGTTGCTAGGACTATGATGAACTAGAGCAGCGGTTCTCAACCTGTGGGTCGCGACCCCTTTAGGGGTCGAACGACCCTTTCACAGGGGTCACCTACGACCATCGGAAAACACATATATAATTACATATTGCTTTTCTGATTAATCATTATGCTTTAATTATGTTCAGTTTGTAACAATGAAAATACATCCTGCATATCAGATATTTACATGACAATTCATAACAGTAGCAACATGACAGTGATGAAGTAGCAATGAAAATAATTTTATGGTTGGGGGTCCCCACAACATGAGGAACTGTATTAAAGGGTCGCGGCATCAGGAAGGTTGAGAACCACTGAACTAGAGGAACCTCAGTTCATGCGAGCATAAGCTTTCTTGCCTATGCCTCTATAAAGATGTGGTTAATGAATTACTGCATCTTCCAAAAGTGATTCTGTATTTGAATATTCAAATTCTGTAGAGGTTTACAGCACTCATCTAAAATATGTGTAGAAATGTGTATATGAAAGTTCAGATAAAATGATTTTCATGATATCCTTACCCTTCTATATGCATATGTAAATCTTTTCCCTGCTTGGTAAGTTACTAAAGGTCTTGATTTTTTTTCCAAGGAAGCTGTGGAGTGGGCAGTGGGACGTTGGTCAGAACATCAGAAGCAGCCCCAATGGATCTGAGCCCCCCTGTTCTTAGGGCGCTGGGGTCCACTCGCATAGAGGTTACGTGGATGCCGCCCAAAACGCCAAACGGAGTCATCACCCACTACTTTATTCACAGGTAACATCGATCATCATTGTTATGTTTAATTAAGAACGTGTGCCATTCCAGGACTGTAGAATCCGACACATTTTCTGTTTCCATAAGGGGAAGGGGTGGGAATTGATGATTTGTGCAGCAGCTACTGGGGACTGAGCTTGGGACTGGAAACGTGGACACATTATCCGAGGGGAAAAGCCTCAGCCAGCACGTGCCAGCTTGGCATGAGTCGGGTCTGAAAGAGGAGACCTCAGAGCCACATGCCCTCCCTCTGATGAAGGGGCAGAGTGTCCATCTAAGACAGGGAAGAGGTGTGCAGGGCAGATACGGCAGACATAGACCATTGGCAGATGAGATCCCCCTTCCAGAAGCAGGGCCTTACAGCAGGCATCAGACCACAGCACGTCTCTTCTCAGATCCTCAGCCCAGGTCAACATCTTTCAGTCTCTCCTTTCAATGGCCTCACATCTTCCCTTGTGTGGGCCAGTGCCCTGGTCACATCATGAAACGTGGTTCGGGTCCCTCTGTCCCTTCAGACATTGAAACCCTTTGGTTCAGAGCAATCTTCAGTGACCAGCCGAGGGTTTGTCAGAAAATGATGATGAGGGAAAAAGTATTCCTGCATTTCCGGTTGTACAGGTGGCATTGCCCCAAATGAGCAAGCCACATTGCTTCTCAGCAGAAGTTAATTTGAAGAATCATATTTCTTTTTTCAGTATGTTTTTATTGATTTCAGAGAGGAAGGGAGAGGGAGAAGGAGAGGGAGAGGGAGATGGAGATAGAAACAAGAAACATCAAGGATGAGAGAGAATCATGGATCAGCTGCCTCCTGCACACCCCCAACTGGGGATCCAGCCCACAACCCGGGCTTGTGCCCTGATCAGGAATCGAACCGTGACCTCCTGGTTCCTAGGTTGACGCTCAACCTCTGAGCCACGCCAGCCGGGCTGAGGA